AGTGCTATTCTCTTTTAATGACTTTTTATGGAATCTTTATCACTAACGTATTTCCGCTATTCCTTTATGTTTCAGCTGGTTTTTTTGTGTGTTTACCTCATTCCTTCTTTACCTCAAGCTTCCTTGCTATCTGTTCTCTTTCTTGTTAACTAGTCTGGTTTGTGAAAATTATGACAAATGTTTTGGCCTATAACAAAATGGCACAAACTGCTTTATTCAAGGTCATTGTTAGTGTTTCATTTACTCCTGCCATCAGCTTCCTTGTAATGAATACTGATCTTTATCATACAAAAATCAATATCTATTTGCTTGATCTCAAAATTTAATTTGTCAGCTCATTGAGACGATAATGGTCGAAAATAAACTGAGAATAAACGAGTCGCTTGGGCTCTAAGATACTGATGTATTTATTTTAAAATAAAGACCTTTTTGTGCTTAGAGGATTGTGTAAGGTGTACCACTTGAGCACTTCAACTTATTTCTTTTACTTTCATCTTAGTTTAATTCAAGATTTTTAAATAGCTGCTAATTGTTTGAATTCTTAATTTGGGGGAAAAATTTAAGTCAAGATGAAGTCTTGTAGGTAAAAATGGTTGCAAATAACACTTTAAAGATGTGCACTAGAGTTTTCACATAATATTTTCTCTTTTGTAATGTCTACATTTAATGTTTACCACTCAAAGGATATATTTCCATTGCTTGCAGATTCAACCTTTTGTTAGTTTGTGGAGTATTATACATTGTATCAGTACATTGAAAGAACAGTATTCGAAGGCTGCAGTGCGGAGTTCAATCTGTTGTTTCCCCACTATGACCATCTAGTTGGTATGCCTGAGTTACATTAACCAGCATCCTACAATACATCAAATCTCAGTATAATTTAGTCAGTCTTTAAAGGTGCCACAATATAACCCTTTGATACTGGAGGTGTTGGTGTATAAGTCAATCAAACTCTATACACTGTTACACTATATTCTGTTCTGTAACCCTGATGTACTTACGTAAGGTATGTATTGCCTGGATAGCACGCAAAACAATACTTTTCACTGTATCTTGGTACATGTGGTAATAATAAATCAAATCAAATTAAGCCTTGAAACTTCCTCCCCAAAATTGGAAGTCGAGTATTCCATTAAATACAGAAGTGAACTCCTGATGTAGGTTTGGGTGTCTGTTATTTTGATCTGATTGCAAAACCTGGATGTGCCTTAAACTTCTGCACATCTTCACAATGGGCCCAAGTCACCTGTTTGATCCATTGCATCAGTTCTAAAGTCAAACATGCATTTACAGGGTGAGGCTAATTGAAGCTAATTACTAATGCAAATAAAGGATTGTCAATATTGAAATTGGCTTATATACCTTGGGTATACCAGGTATATAAGCCAATTTCAATATTGTCTTCTATGTCAGCTTGACTTGTACATTACAATGTATGTATTTGTTTTTATAAAGCTCCATAGATGATGTGCCTTGGAATACAAGCTATAGCATTAAGGATAATGTCAATACATAGCAAAAGCTATTTGTGACCAGTTTTGAAGTCTGCGTATAGTGGTATTTTGGTGAAATGTAGCAACCCAACAATTTTAAGGGCTTTGTTGTGAATAGCACAGAATCAGTTCTGACTAATTCTCACACTTTTTTTTAAACTAGAGCATTTGTAAACCAAATGCAGTCCGCATCTGATGAAAGGAGTGGTATGGCGTCATTGAAATTGTAATTTGATTCCAGAACCTACCCCAATAGCTTATTTCCGTATTGATTTTTACAGCATTGACTTCATCTGACATTGGCAGCATAGCTTTTTTTGGATTTCATGTCCCTAGCAGTCTGTCATGCATTATCTGCATTTAGCAGGTCATAATTGGCTGTAGCTTTTAAATGCTTTTTAGGAGAAAAGTCTGCTGCTGGTACAAACAGGATTTAAGCTTTCAAACAATGCCTCCTTTTTCTGGTTGGGGGCATTCTGTAATTTGTGCCGTGCCTGTTCAAGCTTAGACATTCAGCTTTTTGCCTTGAGATTCGGCTTTGTAGAAAGAACATGTTAATTATGAGAAGCCATTAAGATGTTGGCACCAACTGGGGGCTGCCAGAAGAGCATTGCTGAATGTCCAGGCTGTCAGCCATGATGGGCAGCTCTGGCGAGTACATTAGTCCCCTTTTTATTAAAGGAGTGTGTGGATTGCAGGGCAGGGGTTGTAAGAAGGGGTGGTCCCAGTGGGTTCTAAGGACGTGCAAGGGACTGTCTTTCAGCAGCCGCCCCATTGATCCTGATTGTCCCAAGCCTGGGGATGCAGGAGGCAGGACATTCTGGTTTGCCTGTTGGGGAAGCAGCCATTTTTCTCCTCTTTTTAAACCAAACTTTTTAATCCAGTTGAACATCCCCTGGAAGGGCATTGTAACAAAAACGAACCCAACTAGTTGGCAAAACCTTCTGGATCTGCAATGGAAATGTATCAAAGTTAAACTAAAACGTTGTTTTCTGGCATGACTGTACACTCCAGACCAGCTCCTTTTTATTTCCATCTTACATGTTTGGAAATCGTCGAATAACTTTCTAGAAAATGGAGGATGCCAACAAATTGTATTAGTTTAGGAAGGATCCCCTTTGATTGGGAGCAAAGTAGCACATAAACTTTTAGAAAGAAAGTTTGTTGAATTAGATCCAAGATTGAAGTGCAAGACCACAAAAGTAGTATTAATGCTGTGACCATGTACTGGATATGTGAGTGAAATAAATTAGATATGACCATGTTACTCCGAGGCTCTAAGTGCAAGTAGACCATACGGTGCCATGACCTACTTTGCTCTTCATTGGGTTTGGACTGATCTTCTGCCTTGACATCACTTTCTCACTAGGTCACTATATCCCTGATTCCCTGATGGAGTAAAACTCTGCCCAGCTCAGCCTTGAGGATAAACCGTTACGGATGCATAAATGCAACTGTGAATAACTTAAGTTTTAAAATGGTGCAGACATTTTTTAAAGGACTTACAAATTTCTTTATTAATGTTCTAAATGATTTGTACATCAGACCCTGGAATACACTTGGAAAATCATTGCAGCAGGACCTGTGTTTACTCTGTTTGTAATTGCAGTTAAGAATTGCACAGTAATTCTAGTGAAATTTTTGTCTATATATTACAGTCTTTCTATTTTCTGTTCATTTATTGACAGTGCCTTTTCTTGAAGCCGACCTGGGATCCAACATATCTGCCTTCAGAAAACTGTTAGGAGGTTCCACATTGGTCTCTGGGGGTGTGGGGGGGAGCTATGCTCTGGATGATATAAGATGCAAAACCAAAATTCCATTTTCTCACTTCAATAACCAGAAAGGGCATTGTATGCACTCCTGGGAAGATTAATTTCAAAATTCTCCCATTTACCCCTTCACGAAGAAACGCATTTAACATTTTTGTAGAGCTCTGATGAGAGGCGCAATTTAATTGGCTACCTGCTTATATATCTCAAAAATAGTCATTTGTATGAAGAAAAAATGCAATACATTGTACAATTAGAAAAAAACTGATATAATAATCATGTAAAAGTACTACAGTTGTACTTCCGTAATCTGGCTCTTTGTGGTCTGGTACGCATAGTACCTTGGTTTTCTGAAGAAGATGCAGTTTACAGTGCAGCAAGGAAGTTTCTCTGGCATTTAACTACTGATTCAACCTTGGATTAATAGTATCTAACAATCCCTTAAACGTCAGTACGGATTTGAATACATGCACCAGTTGCTTTTGAAGCCAGGAAAATGCCTTTGTATGCATCATCTCCTTCAGGATAGCAGAAAAGGAGAGGGAATAGAGAATTGAATGGTTTAAAAATTACTGAGCTGTCCATGACAAATGACATCCTGTGGCCTGGCAAATTCTCTAAAAAACCGAAAGAACTGCGGATGCTGTAAATCAGGAGCGAAAACAGAAGTTGCTGGAAAAGCTCATCAGGTCTGACAGCACCTGTGAAGAGAAAATCAGAGTTAACACTTCGGGGTCCAGTGACCCTTCGTCAGAACTGGGAAAGGGTCACCGGACCCAAAACATTAACGCTGATTTTTTTTTCTTCGTAGATGCTGCCAGACCTACTGAATTTTTTTCAGCAACTCCTGTTTCTGTGACAAATTCTCTGATCTGGCAAAGGCCCAGTTCCAAGACTGCTAGATTAGGGACATGTAACCTATACTGTGATTTGTTGTATGTTATCCACACTTGCAGCCCCGTGCAGTACTAGAATTATTACTAGTTGGTATGTCATTAAGGTTCAGCTAGATCAGTTGCCTGGGAGGCTGGATTGTGATGGAGAGTAATGTCAACAACATTCAATTTGTGTACTAGCTAAGGTCACCAACAAGGTTTTGCCTTCTTAACCTCGAGGAGGGGTGACCTTTGGGTTAAAATCCCCATCAGCTGCGTCTCTGTAATGGGAGAGCAACCCATGGTCCTCCTGTGACTATGGTAACTTTCACTTTCAGTCATGTGGATGGGCAGTGTTGTTCAAGCCAACATGGAGGCCTGTATTTCATGGATGATATGCTGTTTGGTTAAATTCAATCATTGCCGTTTTATGTTTGTGTGACTGGACTATGGCACAGCAAGATAAAGGTGAAATAATTCAGATACTGGTGATTTTAAAATAAAATCCAATTGCTGGACAAACTCCGCAGGTCTGACAGCCTTTGTGGACAGAGAATCAGAGTCTGATGACTCTTCGGTTCTGCCGGACCTGCTGAGTTTTTGCGGCTCTTCCTATTTTTATCAAAACGCAGCAAGGCCTGTGACTGCAGCAAATTGGATGAATTTGAATCATTTCACTTGGGTTTGCACTTGAGGATAAGTTTTGTCAAGTGTGTACTGACTTTGAGAAATCAATTGGAAATTTATTTCATAAATAGAAACCAGTCTATCAAATTTGCAAAATAAAAATTAGAAAAAAAAGTAACTTTGTATTTGGTTGCAGGTCGTTTCGATGAGACTGTGATCGAAGAAAGAAGACAGTGTGCTGAAGATCTCCTGCAGTTCTCTGCTAATATCCCAGCCTTGTACAATAGTAAACAGCTTGAAGAATTCTTTAAGGTATGTTCGATATGTTCTGTTTTCACAGAAGTAATTTGTTCAATTTCATAAATTAAGCAATTAAAAGATAAACAATACAAGAGATTTTTTTTGTAAGATTTCTGCAGAATTCAAGGTAGGAAACTTTTGAAATAAGAAACAGGCTGCAAACAATTGTGTGCAGAAACATGTCAGCCACAACTGTCTTTACTGATAACCAATTTTCTATAAGATCTAGGAGAGGAATGCAGTAACTGTTTTTGGTAGCCTGGATTCAGAAAGTATTCTCTTTGCTCAGCACTGGGACTAAAGACCAGCCATTCAGAAGGCAATTGGCCTTCTGGGATGAAGCAATCTTGAAATAGTTCTGTCTGATGAGTGAGGTAGCTAGATGCTGCATATAGTATACATTTTCTCTCTGTGTGTGTGTGTGTGTGTGTGTGAGAGAGAGAGAGAGAGAGAGAGAGAGTGAGTAGAGAGAAAACTTGGGAGTGTTACTGATCTGTCTTTTAACCTCTAACCTTTGAGGTTACCGTTAATATATGGTGCGCCAAGAATGTTTAAGTTTTTTTCTTTTGTATGTGTTCTAAGTCTGTTTGAAAGGATTCAGTTTTGTTTTGTTCTAACAGATGATCGCAGGAGTATTCAAAACTTTACATTTTGAATTTACCTTGTATTGATCTTATCCCAATCTATTTTACATTATGGGAATGAAGAGGATATGATCTGCTGACTAAAGTTAAAGGTGTAGCCACTCCTGGTAAATAAGTAAGGTCCTGGCAGTGAAAGAACAGATTTAGACTTGTTTCTTAAAAGTATACTTAGAGGTGAATTTGTCCCAGGTTTCATACACTACAGCATTTATAGTGTAGGAAATTTTGTATTGGTAACAATATAAGTGAGGAAGGGTAATGACAGGAAGCATTTGAGAACTGTGAGAAGACTGTGTGCACCTGGGAGCTCTAGCTCAGGTGTGTGGCTGTGTATTACAGTTTGATGTGACTTAATTTCAATTTCATGTTAAGCACTAATTTGTGATAATTTAGTTAATAGAGTACAGAATGATGTTTGGTTCTAATTTTATGATATACTAATTTTGTGAAAAGCATAATAGTTAAATATCTTTAATCTTGTGGATATTTTGGTTTGGATGTGAACGTGTCTTAGTGATGCATGCTGCGGTGTTTCACATTTAAGAGCTCTTTAACATCTACTTGTTCTGTGGTGAATGTTGAAGTTAAGTGGACTGTTTAAAAACACCCTGTGTCTCTTTACTTCAAGTTAAAGAGGTTTGTCAAGAAATGGTCTCCCAGTTTTTGCTCAATTTAATTTGTGTGAAACGTGGTATGAATTTAGTTAAGTTGCTACACCACATAGGGCTCTCTTCATGCTAATTAACAAAAATGGCAGGTTTTTCATGTTCAGAGTAGTCCCACAACTAAGAGATTAAAGCAAACTACTCAACCTCAACCATAATTGAGCCCTGCACCTACATACAAGAGATAAAGGTGAAATGTTTGCAAGCATCATCAGCCAAAGATGATCCTACTTGACCTTCTCTCAAGTACCTTAACATTGTGGATGCCATTGTTTAGCAACTTGATACAACGATTGTTGTGGGCAATATCCCAGTGCAGTACTTAAGAACTGTATACTAGACCTTGCTGTGGAAGGACTGAAATTTGTTGGCACCAGAGAACTTCATGAGGGTAAGGTCAAATAGAAGTTTCCCTCTTGTTAGTTACCTTGTCACTGCCACAGGCACGGGCTGTCGGGTGCACCCTTCAGTTCAGTAGTGGTGCTGCTGAGCAATGGACATTGAATTCCCGGATCCCACCGTGTCCATCTACCTCTGTGGTCCTACTCTCTGAAATAATTCTTGTAGTTGCTGTTCAATGTGGATAATTACTGATTCATCAGCTAAGGTAAGTAGGTGGTAATTAGCAGGAGGTTTCCTTGGTCATATTTGACCTGCAGCTACGAGAACTTGTGGGATGCGGAGTTAATATTGAGACTAAGATGGCTGCTTCCTGCTGACTCTGTACCACTGCTCCTTGTCTCTGGTCCATTTGTTCTGCTGATGGGTCAGGACATATCCAGAGAAGATGAGGGAAGGGTCTGAGACCTTCCCTGTAAGGTAAGCTTCAATGAGTATTACTGACTGTCATGCTGTTGCTTGACTAGATTGTGGGATAGTTCTTCCAATTTTGACATAAATCCAGATGTTAGGAAGGACTTTGTAAGATTATTTAAGTTTGTGCTTTTGTCATTTCTTGTGCCTAGGCCGATGTCAAGTGGTCCACTTTTCTTTTTGTTTGTTTTTGACTTTGCTTCGGCATTTTAGTAGAACCAAGTGGTTGGCCGAGTCACTTCAGAGGACAGTTGGTGTGACTGGAGCAGATAAAGATCAGAAGCTTCCCGAGCATTAGTGCTTCTAGAACACTCTGACAGTTTGATGGCCACTATTACTAAGGCTAACATTTTAGTTCAAATTTACTAATTAAGTTAGTTTTAAATGTTACTAGTTGCTTTGGTGGGAATTGAATTTTTCGCTGGGGTATTAGTCCAGGTCTTTCGATCACTGTTCACAGAAACATTAGCACTAGACTCCCCTGCCACTGCATTTTATCAATAGTTTTCCCTCCAACGTAAAGTTGTGACTGTGAGTGTTGACTGATTTCAGTGTTTAACACAACTGGGGTTGCCAGTCCTCCCGATTACTGCTGGGAATTTACTGGAAATGTTATTAATTTCCCGGTGGCTATTTAAGGCAATCCAGGAGATTTTAAAACAATATATTAAGTGAAATGGTGAAATGTGACTTGTGGCTCTGCTAACTGCTCAAAGCTCCTTCACCATGTAGAGCTGGGACAAATTGCCTTGTGGCGTAACTTGCTAGTGCTGCTGGGGAGGGATTACACCAACTTGGCAGGGGTGTGGAAGACAGGAGTTTATCTAAGAGAGGAATATCATAGTGCACAGAGTATGGGGAGTGATAATGCTACTAGAGTAGAGTCAGTTATTAGTTGAGTTGAGAAAGAGGGAAAATAAAGTTTAAATTAGGGTTGCCGTGCATGCGATCGAACGTGTGGAATGCAGCAAAATAGGGTTGGTGGGTTTCAGGTGGGGATGTTGTAGCCATAACTGAACCTTGACTCGAGGAAGGGCAGGACTGAAAAGCTGGTGGAATCCGAGCCTTTGAATATATTTTTAAGGCTGAGGGAGATAGATTCTTGTTAGGCAAAGTGGTGAAAGTTTACCAGGGCTAGGCAGGAATGGTGATTGGATGTTGTAGTCAGATTAACTTATCTTATTAAATGGCATAGCAGCCTTGAGGGGCTTAGTGGGCTACTCCTGTGCTTTGTTTGTATGTAGCGTGTCCAAGAACAATATTTTTCAATGTTGTCAGGGTTGACTATTTTAACAGCTCCATTTTAAAGGCCTTACTATTTTTCTGACTCACCATGAATGTTCACCACCAGGTGGCTGGAGTTAGAAACTGACTGTAAATGTAAATACTAATTGCTTGATGATTCCTGGTAAGCTTTATCTGGTTAGGGATTGGAGAAAGGGTGTGAAAGTGAATTTAAAAAAAATCCAAGACCAAGTTCCAATACTTCACAAAGAAAATAATTCATTTACATAGCATCTTTCACTGCCTCTGAATTTCACAGGTGAACTTCTATCATTGTTGTAATGAAGGGAAATATGACAACCATTTTATGCACTGAAGGATCCCCCAAACATCAGTGAAATGTCCAGATGACCTGTTTTTGGTGGTGGAGTTTCAGTGATAAATGTCAGGGCACCTAGATTGTTACTCTGCTCTGCTCCTTTCATCTCCTCCTGAGAGTGCAAATGGAGCCTCATTTTTACCAAGGTTTACCAGGACTCACTGAGTAATTAGATTTTGACCTCTGATATAACAAGGTGTAGAGCTGGATGAACACAGCAGGCCAAGCAGCATCCTGCTCCTATGATGCTGCTTGGCCTGCTGTGTTC